ATTCATTCTTCCCCGCTCTGAAGAGGATACGTGCCTCGCTTTTTTCACTCGATGGTCAGCCTTGAGTGGTGGATAATCATTTGAATGTTACTCACTCATCTCCGTCTTTTAGCCGCCCCCAATCAGGTGTTAAGAATTCGGACACCATGATCAATGGCCCCTCTCCTTTTCTCTCTGTTGTCGCCTTTTCTTGGAAGTGGGTCCACTTTGTCTTGTGTCTATCATTTTCGTAGAACGTTGATTCATCGTGTGTGACCAGGATCAAGTGGAAGCGGCCGATTTGAGGGACAGGGAAGCCAGCTGGTTTAGAGAGTACGTTGCCATCGTTGTCATAAATAATGAAATGCTTCTCATATTCCTGCCAGCGTGACACGAATGCTTTCCGATAAGCAACCACATCCTCCCTTTCATGGCCATCAATGTACATGCCATTCCGTTTGCGGGTATATCACCAGTTCAGCTTCTTCAACCAGCATCGAGCTGTTCGAACGGTGATTCCTCGTGCCTTCACCCCAAGCCGCTCCTGGACATCCTTTGTGGCAATGTAGTCAACAATGTCCTGTGCCCGGATGTAGCCATCTTTTGCCTTTCCTGTCAAGTGTAGCTGGATATCCTGGGCGAAGTCTTCATCATCGAGGATTGAGGAGTTGTAGGAGCCATATCGGTGAAGGGGCAGTTTCCCAGATTTCAAAAACTGACAGATCCACTTTCGTAGGTTGCGTGCGTGATTGGGTCCTCGTCCTGCAGCTTTCACCGCAATCAGGGAAGCCTCCCGCCACGTATATGAGAGCTGTGAATCGAGATAAAGATTCAATGTCGCAACCATCCCTGTAATTCGGCTTCGGAAGAACACATCAAGCTTCTTGTCTTTGCTCTTGATGGTGAGTTTTGCGAGTGCACGACACAGCATAGGAAAGTCCTTGTAGCATAATCCATTCAACAGGACATCAGTCCTTGTCTCAGGGCTGTCATCTGAAGGGCGACATCCATTCTGCAACTGCTTCAGGAGCTCTTTGACTTCCTCCTTTGCAGATCTCGCTCGTGTGTCACTCTGGGTGCCTGTAGTGTCATGCAATGGCCCTGGGTTCATCTAGTCTTGTTGGTTAGTCCTCGATTAAGCTTTTGACGTGCATCTGGACTGACTTCATTGCTCAATTCATCTCTTTCAGGGAAGAGCCGGCCCATGCTTGCCTCAACATCTTTGGTGGGTGGGTCTTCAGGTGATGAGTCTGAGTCTGAACCAGATTCATCCTCGGAGACCGTCTTTTTGGCTACTGTGAACCAGGAATTAATAAATTGTTGTCCAGCTGCTGCTAACTTCTTCCGATTGAAGGCATGGAGCCGCTGGCTTCGTTTCAAGTTCCCAGTGTAGTGCTTTGGGCGGTTGGGCTTATCAGCTGCTGCTTCACATTCAGCCTTTACAGCAAGAGCTTGAGCTTCACAGAGAACAGCTGCGAACTGATGAACGTCGCTCTCATTCTTCAGCCCCTCTAGTTCTTCCTCACCAACCTCCACCTCCTCCTCATCCTCTGGGGTCCCAGTCCGAGTCTGAATCCAAGTCTTCATCCAGAAAGAAGAAGCCTTCTTTGAGGAGTGGCTGCCTGTTGCTGGTAGGGATGTAATCTTCATCTTCTGACTCACTCACATCTTCTACAGTGGGTTTATAGGACCTTCTAGGGTGGTTGAGGTTCCCAAGACGTGCAGTAGTTGCTTTGGAGTGTCGGCCCATGTCTGTCTGAATGTGCAGAGAATGGTTATTTCGTCGCCATCTTGTGGCAGTTTGTGGCCTTTCCTCCTCCCCCTAAGTCACGTGTATGTATTATGTAAGCGGCAAAATCCACTGCGTCGCATTTTCAAAAAGAATATTGCCTTTACAAAAATGGGTTTTATTGCATTTACTACACTTTTCATGGTCAAATTTTTGGACCCTTATTTCTTGGCCCCTAAGCAAAAATTCAAATTATTTTTTCCAGGGATCTCTTCTTTGGAATGTATTTTACAAGTCTTAGCACTATGATGGGGAATTAATTCAGTGTTGAGGCTGCAATTCGAGGCGACATTGCAAAGGTTTTTGGATTACATAAGCTAGCTGGTTCCTGATGGCCTCTACCTTATTTTGCATTTTTCTTGCCAAGCAGAGCAGCTGATGACATCAAATAACTTGATTCAGGGTCAACCAAAGGTGCTCTACAAATTCTGATGTTTTTTCCTAAAAAGAATGATTATTAAGCATCTTGTTACATACTCTATATGCTGGACTTGGGGAATGGTCCAACAGACTATTATCTATTCTGATGTGTAATAGGTACTGGTTAGTAGTCTATTTTGATACATATACTGGAGTCCAGTGGAGTCCAGTAAGACTCCAGTAAGACTCCAGTATCACACTCTCAGTAGAATCCAGTATACTTTCTTACTGGACTCCACTGGACTCCACTGAACTCCACTATACCTTCTTACTGGAGTCCACTGGAGTCCACTGGAGTCCACTGAACTCCAGTATAATTCCACTGGACTCCACTGGACTCCACTGCATAATATGCCAACTCCACTGGAGTCCAGTAGAGTCCTATAGCACTCTGTGGGGGACCACAAAGTACTGGGGCCTGGTCAGCGTTCGTGGGGCGCGAAACGGATTGGGGGGCTTACCTGGTGTATTGGGTGTTGGTGGTGGTATGAGATCAAGAGGTAAACATGGGAACACGATCAGTAAATAAATTTCAATCTCTGCTTGAAAATAAAACAAACTGGACGTACTGGTTATATCTGGATAGCTGCACAGATATATATTTACTAAATATCTATACACTATCATAGGCTTAATGGCTCAATAGTTGACTGTGCATGGTACTATAGTCATGTAATGCTTGTGACTGGTTCAATTCTTGCTGGTGCATTTTTTTAAACTGTTTTTTTCTGTGGTAAAAAAAAATAGATAAAAAAATGGAAAAATATGGAAAAAATCAAGCCTTTTTGGGGCATCCACTGGCACTCCACCGGAGTCCTATATTACGAGTTCTTACATAAGTAAGACTTGTTCTTTCAATCTGGGTCGCAGAGATCATTTTACTTTCCCACATTACAGTCATCCATGCTTTTTTTCCCACAGTAAGTATTACATTGATGGCATAGCTACATTTTCAATAGTTCACTACATTTTTACTGGCTATTGTAGTAATGCCCTTCTTGCCCTGTGCAAAATCAAAATCACCAACCTCTCTTGCTCACTGCAGCCCTCTCTTGCTCTTCCAACCTAACCCCCAGCACCATCCAACAACAAGCCCTGGTGCCCAAATGATCCTGGACTTCACAGTTCAGCACCATTCATGCTTGTTCAGCCACTGCCGCCTGCCTCTCTCACTCCATGACCACCTGCTTGCCCTCCTCACCCTTTGCCTCTCGCCCCTCCCAACAGGCCTCAAAAACAAAGAATGATGGCAAACCAACATGCCCCTTCTTGCCCTCCTACCCTCACTACTCACCACCACTCCTCTCATCCCTCCAATGCCCCTCACGCATCCAAACAGCCCCCAAAGACGATGAACAACACCAAACATGGAGGTTGGGTGTTGTTTGCACTCATTCTCTGTCCTGCCCACCTGCCCACCCAGCACCACCTGCCTCTCACCTTCCACCCCCACCACTGCCACTTCTCACCCTTCCAACACCCCTCGCCCGCACAAACAGCCACCCAGGATGATGAACGACACCAAACTTGGACATTCAGCAGCATTTGCAGTCGTTCTGTGCCCTATCCACCCCTTCTTGCCCTTCCCCCCTCCCTCTCATCTTCTGCCACCACCACCCCCTCTTCTTGCCCCTCTGATGCCCCTTGCCCATCCAAATGGCCTCCAAAGCACCCTGATGACAGTGAATGATGCTGAAGCTCTCATCCTCTAAAACAGTTCACTTTCAGAACATCATGAAATAGAATAGATATATATTGAGAATAATTATGTGAAATACATATTCCAGAAAGCAAAGGCCAAGTCATGAGTATGAATGAGAGAACACTGTTGCCGAGTCACAGAGGTGGTTGTTGTTGACTTGTGGAGGCTGTCATCAAGTCGCACAACATGATGATGAACTGGTGGGGTGGAGTAAGTAATGGAAGGAGGGATTAGAGTCAGTGACACACTATGCTGAGTCTCCCACTGCTCGGGTCTCTCTTGTGGTCCTTCTCTCCATCCAGCTCTTCCATAACCCTCATTGGAGGGCATGGCCATGGAGATGTTGGACCTGACATTGATCTGTGGAGGTGGTCATTGAGTTGTTGGAGCTGACATTGAGTTGTGGGGGACTGATATTGAGCCATGAGGGAGTGGCTTCCAGTTACTGTGGCTGATGTTGAATCAGCAGGCCAGCATCAAGACATAGGGCCTATTATCAACTTGTGTGATGCAACAGAGAGCTAGCAGGTGAGCAAGGAAGAGTGGAAGAAGAGGTAGCCAGTCACTCACTGCGTTGGACATTCGGGTCTCCAGCTACTTGGGTCTCCCTTTGTTTTCCTCCTCCTCCATTCAGCCCTTCAAAATGTGCCCTGTCCCTCATTGGAAGGCACAGGTGCATGGTGTAGGTATCTATAGTAGAAGAGGGAGAGGAGGAATAGTGATAGTAGCAGCAGAAGAAAGAAAGCGATGATGTAGCACACAATTATGGCCAGCACAAGTCACCTGATCATTTACCTTACTGTCTACAAATGAAATAGTATTCACATACTCTACATTATATTTATGGGTACTGTATTTTTCTCCTGTATTTTACATTAATTACACAAGTCATTTCATGAGAATTGAATAAGAATTGACAGAGATATGGAATTTGCAAGATGAGGTGAGGGGCTGTGGTGGGTTTGTTTGTTTAGCCAAACATATGACGCATGAAAACTCTCCAGGAGTTTTCGTGCGTCATAGCTGTCAAACTCTGCTCACATGACCTAGCAAGTCACATGTCCTTCTACTACAGAAACAGTGTCTCTATATCTCTGCAATGGCTGCAGCTACAGCTCTGAAATTTTATACACCATGAGGTGGTGTTCAGAGAAGCTTAAATAAGAGATTCAGATCTTCAGGGGTGCTGTGGCATGAGATATTGCATGTTTTAAATGCAGAAAACCCACACCTCCATAT